ATTTGCCATGGGCTCCTACTTCCCTTTTCGGTAACAATTGTTACTCTCTGAAGAGAATGGAGTCTTGGCTGACAACTGATTAGCTGAGTAATCATAGAATGAGTTTTCTAGTCTAAGTGAGGACACCTCAATTAAACAGAAAGGAAGAGCATGAGGAAGGAAGGAAGGAGGGAAGGGAGGGAGAGAGGGAGAGGAGGCCAGGTCACCATACACTTTCTCTTTTATTTCTGGTGTTCAACTGAAAACATCCCATCCCTAATCAGAGCTGCTACATCACCCAACTCCACAGTGTGTCATTTGCGGTCCATAACTGTGTTACAGCCAATTATAGCTAAATTCTTTGTTCTGTATGCACAACCAAAGGGTGTCTGGGATGTATTTTGCTATTTTCTGAATCCTATTATTGCAGACATGTTTATTACATTCAGAAGATGGCTTTCTGAAATTACATTGGAATTGTACAACCCACCTCCCATTTACAAACAAAGACTTAAACATTTCTTAACAAGGAGAAAGTTCATTTAGTTCGTTCCTGGTGACTTTTCCTGCATTGTTTTCTTCCATAACCATTTGGTAAAATTTGTTACTCAAGCCTCTACATATTTGTAAAGATATCTAAGCTCTCCAGTTAATGCTTATTTTCAAATTAATAACAACATAAAGGAGTTGCAGCTTGGCTTTTGACACCTGTGGTAGATGCTTGCTGAATTTTTTCTCAGACTGTGTGTAAAAGGATTGTAAAATGGATCCTAAATGATAACTATTTGATAGCCCTGAAATAACTCCTTTAGGTTGCCTGTCAGAAGAACAAATTTTCCAGTTATGTCCTTACATTTCATTTGGGTCCATTTTAGGAGGAAAGTGAGTGGCGTTAGAAAGACACATGGTATCTGTTTGCAAACGTAGCACCTCATCATTAATTATTAAGGGAAAAATCAAAGTGTTTCTAAATGGAATGCTTTCCTTTTCCCTTCTACTGATGTTTATACTCAAATTCCACACACACACACACACACACACACACAAACACACACATACCAGCTTACTCTATTACTAGTATTTGCCTCGCAGAGCCAGGGGATATTACTACCTTTTTATCTGCTATTTTTACAGGACCCAACAAAGTGCTTTTAAAATATATAACCACTTAATTCAAGTCAAACTTCTTCAATACTCCTTTCATTCAAGCCCTATCTAATTTGTTTTCCTCCAGCCAGGAGCCCAGAGAAGACACTGTGATTTATGTTTTCATTTATTTATTTTATTTGGGCTTTTCATTTAAGAAAAGAAATTCTGCACAACCCCCACTGCCCTCAATTCTGCATCATTTCACCCCATTCTGCCCCTTTGTATTCGGACCATTAAGACCTCAAGGCCAGACATCTGGGTTGTAAGCAAATTTCTTCCAGAGATTTGCCCACAGTCTGGAGGGGTCTTGGTCTGCGGCACCAAGGGTGGTGCTGGGGGAGCTGTCTACACCACTCACTCAGGGTGGCAAAAAGCCCATGCTTTAGAGTACTACCTTCTTGAGGGCAGCCTCTTTTTCTTCCTTTATCACTTCATGCCTTGCCCAGTACAGTGCTCCCACAGAGTCCTGGAGGAATTCAGCCTTTTCACAGTGACAAAAGATGCTTTGCCATAAGAGCTTAAAGTTCCATGAAGATTAAAGATGTGTGCCTTGGCAGCAGGATGGATATCATTGCTCAAATCAGCATATTGTTTTTGTATGGGGGCTGGGCATGGGGTGGAGGAAATTCCCATATGACATTTAAGAGCCTGGGATTGACAGTCATGGGCTTAAGTCCTGGTTCCACTTTCTACCCAGTGGCCTTAAGTGAGTTGTTCCTCCTTTACACTGGGTTCATTGATCCAGCCAATCAGTCAAGAAGTACTTTTTAGGCCCCTACAGTACGACAGACACTGAGTCAGGTACAGTGGGTAACAGGTAGTGACATAGACATGGTTCCTGTCTGCAATGCTCTGGAGGGGCCAGCAAACAGACAAACATTTACAGTAAAATGTGACAAGCATAATAATAGGGAAGCCAGGAAACCTTTAGAAGAAAAGACTATATAAGTGTCCTGAGATCAGTTTCCTCTAGTGTAAAATAGGAGATAATATAATACCCACCCCATGGGGGCGCTGTGAGAATAAATGAGATAATGTGCAATGGGCTTTGATTGCTCGCCACGTAAAGTACAAACTTGGTTAAAAGATAAATCAGAAAGCTATTATTGTCATTATTGCTATGTACCATCCCGCAATGCCCAAAGAAATTATTATTAGAAAACCACATTTCACCTTTAAAAAGACACAAGCTTTATCCTGTAGCTCTAGTTCTTTTTTAATAGTAAGAACTAAACAATACTATTGTCTGTAGAACATTAGAGTAAATTTGAAGGTAAATCTACTAAAATTAATAAGTGCTCTCAAGTAAAAATCATTAGCGATTGAGTATCAAAAACAAACTTCTTTAAAGGAGAAAGGATCAAGCAACTAGGTTCTACCCACTTCAAAAGGGGACTTATCCTCTCCATTGAGTCCTGGACATTCACAGCAGAATGCTCCTTCAAAGCATTCTCACCAGTTTAAAAGGTAATAACATTTACAGCTGACCGTTGAACACCATGGGATCAAATTGCATTGGTCCACTTACATGCAGATATTTTTCAATAAGTGCTTTGGAAAGACTTTGGAGATTTGTGACGATTTGAAAAAGCATCTTCTTTTCTCAATCTTACTTTATTGTAAGAACACAGTGTATAATATATATAACATACAAAATATGTGTTAATTGACTATGTTATCGGTAAAGCTTCCAGTCAACACTAAGCTGATAGTACTTCAGTTTTGGTAGAATCAAGAATTATACACAGATCGTCAACTGCTAGGGGTATCAGTGCCCCTAACCCCCATGTTGTTCAAGGGTCAACTGTACTTAAAGATACCCCAGAAGCACTTTTAAAAGAGTATTTACACACTGGGAATCATATTTGTTCATTACAACCTCAGAAATACATTCCCACAGAGATCAGCTTTAGTCCTGCCATCCGACTAGACCTCCCTTAGCAACTGTGGCCCACTTCACAAAGCGCCATGTCTTAGTGGATGAGTGTGAGTGATGGAGTTCTCCAACACGATTCCTGAGATAATCGAGCATTGATGCACAAGATCTTTGATTATTTGCTTAAATGTTACATATATTTGGGGAAAATCATCTGTTAGTTGAGCTGCAGCAGAATTCCTGTTAGGGAAGAGTATTGTTTTCATTTTAGCGAATTCTTAAATGGGCCATTTTGGTGCCTTCAAATAGGTTCCAAGACAGCGATGACTTGCTCTGCTTTGTAATGCTGGAGGAATTTTTGAGGTTTTAGGAACAGCCTGAGAAGCAGAGAGAGAAGAGTAATTTGAGGGAGAGGGATAGAGTGACAGGTAGGAGATGTTAAGGAGGAAAGCTGGCAAAGAAGTTTACCTTGGTGTGGGTAGGAGGTAATGATGTTCAGCATTAGTTCTCGGTTAGCCATTAGTCAGCTGCCACTCTGAATTGCTAACTAGCATTTGCTACACGGGAGCACACACACTCACATGGGATTTTCATCATGGGTCTACATTCATTGCATTATATGACTGGTTATTGAAGGCCCTTCAGGAAACTGGGGATACTCTGGTGGCCACAGCACAGAAAAGACAGAGCAGCTTTGGGGTTCAGGAGAGATCCAGAGGTCAGCAGGAGCAAGATATTGGAGTAAGAGACCTCCAAAGAACATGAGCCTTTAGAAAGTCACAGAAGTCATGGGCAAGCCAACACACTCATATAGCACATGACAAGAGGAGTTGAGGCCTTCGACACCCCACCTGGGCTATATGTCTACATATAAACTATAACAAGCCCTTAATTCTTCTTTCATCGGAAAGTCTTACTAAGTCAAAGTAACCTGAAAAATTTAGCAGCTAGACTGTTTGAGCCCTCACTTCAGGTTTTGAAGTAACTGGCAAGTTGAAAAGACCATGTGGAGCTACTGTTTCAGATTCAGAGATGCCAGCAATGTTGCCTCTAATAGTATTGTCCCTTTAAGTAGGAGAACAGTAGTCAAAGAAGGATTGCTGATCTAATGACTAATTGATGGCAAAGAGTCTCTAATGATCTAATAGCTCATTAGGGTTGACTAAGCCAGCAGGGGTCTTTAAAAATGTTTTTTATTCCACTCTGAGGCTTTGTAAATTTTCCTGTACAAACTCTACCAGACCACTGCCCAGGTTATTAAACCTAGAAGTGTGAAACCACAGCAAGAGCAGGACGGACCTGTACAAATGTAATTTGGGAGCATAAGGACAACTATGGAACCCACATGACAGAGATGTGTAACACTGCCAGAATCACATGATGGGAAGCTAGGGAGAGACATGCTGGCAACCACATGTGCTCCCAATAGGTAACATCTTAGGCCAAGAATTGAACTGTCACCATGATAGTGTGGAAACAGCTTCAGAATGGGTAAATTCACTGTTCATTCATCATTTAATAAGTTAATATTCATTAAATGCCTGTGATTCACATGGTAGTATATATAAATGCTTTATGTACATTATATCAACTTAAACAGTTGCTATGGTCATTTCTCATGTGACAAAAATTGAACCTCTGGCAACTTAGAAGGCTCAAGAGAGTTACATAATAATGCTATACACACAAACACACACACACAACAGGTAAGGAACAGATTTGGGACTCAAATCCAGGTCTCTCTCCATCCCTGCCTTCTTTGTTTCTTACTACATTGTCCCTTAGCAGAGTTCAAACGAACAACTCAAGCGTTCTATTTCTTGGAAAATATTTGTCTCTATAGATGTAAGGAAAGATGATTATTGTTGGTATCCAATTTAAAAGAAACAGCTAATTCTGATAGCATGAATAAATAAAATATCCAGGTAAGCCTCAAATGATGGCGATGATGAATTCTCATTCAGGTCCACTTTCCAACACTGAGCCTTCCACTCACCAGCTGTCCCGTGGACGCTCCATGGATAAGTCCTCTTCCTGGTAACAACCCTCTTCCACTGATGAAGCTGGAACTGCTGGGAAACAGGGACAGAGAGGCAAAGGAGTCTGGAAGACTGACCTTACGGCAGAGAATGTCTCTAGCTACTTTTGAGAAGACACTGACTGCAATATTTTCATTCAGCACAGCAAACCCCACCTAATGTTTAACTGACCTGAAGTTTTAACTGAAAACAAGGAAGCAACGAGGGTATCAAGAACATGGCCAAGGGATGGATTTTGAAAGAGGTATGTCCATAATTTAGCCAAAATATTTATTCTCAAACTTCCATCCACCAGAGCTGAGGACTGCTCCCAGGGGCATTAATTCCCTGGCACTTCAGGGTCTGGCTGCCCAAGTGAAGTCCCTCTGGTAGAGATGCTTGCTGAAGGATGCTCAAGACAAATGCCATAGCAATGTGAACAGGAGTTTGAAAGCATCTGCTACATCTGCTTTTTTCTAGAAGAATGACCAGAACAGCCCCCAAGCCCACATCTGTTCATGAATATACAGAATAGAAACATATTTTCACCTTAGTAGGGTGTAGTTGATACACCCTCCCTGGTACCATGAGAGTATATAATGCTAGCATAAACATCCTGAAATATGTCAAGATACAGAGAGGCAGCTGTTCATTCCTCTTTTAAAGGATTCAGGCAATGTTGGTTGACCTCTATTATAGAACTGGCATATATTAGCTGAAATAATACTTTAACAGTTTTTTAGTACCCAACTATATGTTCTGTTAAAAGGAATAGCAAATGTTTAATCATAAATATTTTAATGGCTTCAGGGATTCATGGTATTCAGTGACCGTGTTAAATGATAATAATCACATCTGGTTTATTACTATAGTAATTCAGCAGCTTCTCTTCAGCAGTTATTTTTTATTGTATGTGCTGTGCTACTGTCATGGTCATTTATAGCAGTAATATTTTAAAGTGGCTCATTTGTTTGTTTAAGGACAGTTTCACAATATATTTCTGTATTAATATACATTTTGCACTATTATTTCCAAGCTGCCACTGGAAAATTGATCCTAGCTGTTATGACTGGAGAGGCCGGAAGACACACGAAATACCCAAGCAGAGATGGAGTGGGTCGACCAGATGGGACTGTCCTGGTGCCCACTGGGGTTATGACAACTGCTATTGAGCCTTATTCTTAAATGATGGAGTGTGCTCAGTTAAGGAATAATAAATATAAAGGGACAACCTAGGTTTAGGGAGGTGTTCTAGGTGAAATACCATCCCAGAGGCAAAGGCACATGGGAAGAACTCAAACATGGTTTGCAAGGCCCAAGGTGGTCATCAGCCCTCAGCAGTCATCTCAGTTTCAATAACAAAATAGTAGTTGAGGTGGCAAAGAAGGGGAAAATATGGGGCTTGCAAGAAAGCAGCAAGGGCAGATCCAGGTTACCTGCTGGGTGGCTTGGACGCAGACATCACTGTTGAATCTGCTCATTAGCCATGAGTAGCAGAGGTGTGCACAAGCAATGCTCCATCCAGGTCCTTACATTCCACTGGCTCCGGGCAGCAGGTGTTAAGTAGACTTGTATGTGATGCCCGCTGCACTTTTGCCCCATGCATCACCAAGAGTTGCTTGTGATGGGGTAAATATTAGCCTGAAATCATATATTGCTCTTTGGTGGGGAGGGGAAAGGGAAGAAGTTCTTACTAACCCAGGGGAGTTAATTTTCTGTGACATTCTGCTGAACCAGGTTGTGGAAATTCAGAGAAGCCTGGAGAAAACTGCCAGGCTACTGCTCTGCTTCCTCTCGGCTGGATCCTGATTGGTTGGGTGACAGAGGGCAAATGGCTTTTATGGCTATGAATGATGTATGACTGTAAAATGGTCTGTAACCAGAAGTGCCAACTGACATGCCTGCTGATTTAACGGACACCCAGGGTTATGTTTGCACAGCGACGCTTAAATAAACACGTGCTAGGTTTGAGGCCGTTTACTAAGCAATCATTTCTCTCGCTCTTCTTTTACATTTTATTTTACTTCATCATAAAAACAAGGAGAGTAAAACTATGATTCCCTTTTTTATAATAATGAAGATTTACTCGATGCTGTGGCTGTCCCTCTTTGTCCTCGGTGAGTCTGGCTCTTTCCCCCTTTCTACCTGCAGGGGGCGCTGCCATAGACTACTGCGAAGGCAAGCAGGGTTCCCAGGGGCAGCATCAGAATGAGCTGCCCTTGGGAATGAAAGAGACATTGTCTAGTTGCTTTTACATTTGGTGAATTAGGAAAAGAAAGCCCTGAGTCGCTGTTCCATTAATGGAATGGGGAGATTTCTGTTCAGCTACAAATTAGCAAAGGTACAAAAGACAGGAAAGATTATCCTCTCATGATGGTCCTCAAACTGAAAAATATCCCATAAGTTTATTGATATCTTCTGATACACTGGCTACATCTATAGCAATTTTGATTAATGCAAAGTCAGATTTGGGTCTGGAAGCTTAATCTAGATTTTCATATGGCTCCTGAATGGTCATTAGACCATAAATATAAATTGTAATGAATGTACAAGTTTTCTCTCATAAACTGATCAGAAATCCATAAGACACTATAGAGCAATTCCTGGCTGTATCTGTGGAACATATTCCATATGTTTATAATATGTTTATATCCCATTTGACTTTATATTCCAAGCTGAATCAGGAATGGCAAATCAATCCCCAAATGGCCCCTACTACATCTCAACTGAGCTTCAAAGTATTTTGCAGGGTCTCCAAGCAGACATTACCCATAATCTGAGTTGATGCTCAAAATAAAACCTAACTTGCCACTCTTGTTCTAGAACTTTCAACTCTTTACTTCTGACAAAGAAGAATTCACAGAACTTTTTGCCTTTTTCAAATGGATGTTTTTTTTTAACTAGTAAAATTATTTGTTTTTTAAAGAGTATGTAAATCTGTTCACCTATCTGATTCCGATGCCTTTTTCATTGTTAAGTCTTTAATCATAGAAGAAGTTCACCTGCAGTAATTTGTCAACTCAAGTTTTCATTTTTTCTTGGAACAGTTTTGATAATATATACCAGGAAATTATTATTTTAGGTTTTAAAATTCATCACTCTTGAGTTGCTTATAGTATTATCTGAGATTTTTTACATCCATTACCTGTAGTTATATCTCCTTTTCTAATCTTGTATATTTTTGTTCTCTTTTTCTTATCAAACTTCAAAGAATTACTCTATTTTATTGATCTTGACAACCAGTTTTTGGATTTATGGATTCTTTCTATTATTTTCTTATTGTTTTTTATGCCATTTGTTTCAGTTTTGGTCTTTCTTCATTCCTTATTGCAGTTTAATTTGCTGTCATTTGTTCTAATTTTTTATTAGTACTTAGGTTTCTTTTTTTCTGAAGGACAGGAGACCTTTCAGTTTTGACTATTAATAATAAATGCCAGAGTCAGCAAACTATTACACATGAGACCAATCAGACTCACAGCCTGTTTTGAACAACTTGGAGGTTAAGAAAGACAGAGCATCCAAGATTGACCCAGGAAGCACAGAAAATCTAAACAGACCAATTACCAGCAATGAAATTGAATCAGTAATCAAAAAACTACCCAAGAATAAAACCGCTGGACCAGACAGATTCACCGCTGAATTTTATCAGACATTTCAAGAAGTCATAATACCTATTCTCCTTAAAATTTTCCAAAAAATAGAAGAGGGAGGAATACTTCCAAACTCATTCTATGAAGCCAGCATCACTCTAATACCAAAACCAGGCAAAGACACAACAAACAAAGAAAATTACAGAGCAATATCCCTGATGAACATAGATGCAAAAATTTTAAAAATACACCAAGAGGATCATACACCAGGGTCAAGTAGGATTCATCCCAGGGATGCAAGGATGGTACAACATTCGAAAATCCATCAACATCATCCACCATATCAACAAAAAGAAGGAAAATAACCACATGATTATCTCCATAGATGCTGAAAAAGCATTTGACAAAATTCAACATCCATTCATGGTAAAAACTCTCAACAAAATGGGTATAGAGGGCAAGTACCTCAACATAATAAAGGCCATATATGACAAACCAACAGCCAACATCATACTTAACAGCGAGAAGGTGAAAGCTTTCCTCTAAGATCGGGAATATGACCAGGATGCCCACCTTCCCTACTTTTATTCAACATATTATTGGAGGTTGTAGCCATGGCAATCAGACAAAACAAAGAAATAAAAAGCAACCAGATTGGTAAGAAAGAAACAAAACTGTCACTGTTTGCAGAAGACATGATATTGTACATAAAAAACCCTAAAGAATCCACTCCAAAACTATTAGAATATCTGAGTTCAGCGAAGTTGCAGGATACAAAATTAATACACAGAAATTGGTTGCATTCTTATACACTAACAATGAACTAGCAGAAAGAGAAATCAGGAAAATGATTCCATTCACAGTTGCATCAAAAAGAATAAAATACCTAGGAATAAACCTAACCAAGGAAGTGAAAGACCTATACCCTGAAAACTACAAGACACTCCTAAGAGAGATTAAAGAGGACACTAATAAATGGAAATTCATCCCATGCTCTTGGGTAGGAAGAATTAATAATATTGTCAAAATGGCCATCCTGCCTAAAGTAATCTACAGATTCAATGCAATCCCTATCAAAATACCGACAGCATTCTTCAATGAACTGGAACAAATAGTTCTAAAGTTCATATGGAGCCACAAAAGACCCTGAATAGCCAAAGCAATCCTGAGAAGGAAGAATAAAGCTGGGGAGATTATGCTCCTCAACTTCAAGCTCTACTACAAAGCCACAGTAATCAAGACAATTAGGTACTGGCATAAGAACAGACCCATAGACCAGTGGAACAGAATAGAGAGTCCAGATATTAACCCAAGCATATATGGTCAATTAATATGTGATAAAGGACCATGGATATACAATGGGAAAATGACAGCCTCTTCAACAGCTGGTGTTGGCAAAACTGGACAGCTACATGTAAGAGAATGAAACTGGATTACTGTCTAACTCCACACACAAAAATAAAC